CCAGCCCGACTGGCCTGTCCCGAGGGAGGGCGTGTGGGGGACCCGATACCCAGCAGGCCGCTCCGGTGCCAGGGTACCCGCTGGAGCCCGAGAACCAGGCCAAAACTCGTTTATCTTTTTTTTAATATATATTTTTTTAATTGATTTTAGAGAGGAAGGGAAAGGAAGAGAGAGACGGAAACATCAATGATGAGAATCATTGATTGGCTGCCTTCTGCACGCCCCACACCCAGGACCAAGCCTGAAACCCAGGCAGTGCCTTGACCTGGAATGGAACTGTGACCTCCTGGTGGCAAAACTCGTTTATCTTAACCGTCATTCTTTTCAAAAGTTTATAATTCAGTGCTTTAAATAGATTGACTTTCATTTAGATTTAACAGGTCAATGAAGCAGGCGTTCTTATCGGGATATTGTATATGAAACTGATGCTGAGACGTGGGTCATAAAAGTTATCTTGCCCTGGGATTGCAGGTTTACTAGTAGCCAACAATGTATGTTCCATGCAATATTTGCAATTATACTAAAAAAATCATGCGTGTTGCCCTGGCCAGTGTGGCTTAGTTGGTTGGGCGTCCTCTCGTGCATTGGGAGGTTGCCAGCTTGATATCCAGTCAAAGGCACAGCCCTGTTTGCGGATACCTGGTAGGGGGCGTGCAGGAGGCAGCCAATGGATGTTGCGCTCTCACATTGATGTTTCTCTCTCCCTCTCCCTTCTTCTCTCTTTAAAAATCAATAAACTATTCTTTAAAAAATAATGATGATGATAATTGTTTGTCTTCCTTTTGTTATATTGTATGAGTTCTTTATATATTTTGGAAAGTAATCCCTTATCTGTTGTATCATTGGCAAATATGTTCTCCCATACAGTGGGCTCCCTTTTCATTTTGTTGGCAGTTTCTTCTGCTGCACAGAAGCTTTTTATTTTGATGTAGCCACATTTGTTTATTTTTTTTCCCTTTGTTTCCCTTGCCCTAGGAGATGTTTCAGCGAACATATTGCTATGAGAGATGTCTGAGGTTTTGCAACCTATGCTTTCTTTTCAGAGTATTTTAAGTCTGAAATATGCCATTGGTATTTTAATAGGGATTGAGTTGAATCTATAGATTGCTTTGGGGAGTATGGACATTTTAATGGTGTTAATTTTTCCAACCCATGAACAAATTCTTCTATTTGTCTATATCTGCCTCTATTTCTTTTTTCTATGGCCTGTAGAGTACAGGTCTTTTATCTCCTTAGTTAAATTTATTGCAAGGTATCTTTGTTGTTGTTGTTGTTGTTGTTGTTGTAATGATAAATGGGATTTTATCTCCTTAGTTAAATTTATTGCAAGGTATCTTTTTTGTTGTTGTTGTTGTTGTTGTTGTTGTAATGATAACTGGGATTTTTAGTTTCTCTTTCTGAGAGTTCATTATTGGTGTATAAAAATGTCATCCATCAATTGCTGGATGTTAATTTTTATCCTGCTATTTTGCCGAATTTATTTATTAAATCTAGTAGTTTTTTGGTGGAGTCTTTAGGGTTTTCTATGTATAAGATCATGTCATCTGCAAATAATGACAGTTTCACTTCCTCCTTTCCAATTTGGATGCCTTTTATTTTTTTCTTCTTGTCTGATCGCTATGGCTAGAACTTCCAGTACTATGTTGAATAAGAGTGGTGAAAGTGGACATCCCTGTCTTGTTCCTGTTTTTAAGTGAAATGCCTTTGCCCATCGAGTACAAATACAAAATATGATGTTACAAGCCAAATTTTACCTTAAATCATTAGATGACTGCTTACCTCATATGAAATTCATTTTAACTAATTCTACATGACAAATATAAAGAGTGATAATCCCTGGCCTTAAGTTTGGGTATGAGTTTAGCATACATTTCTAGCCACAAACCTAACTGGTACTAAAATGATGTTTTAAGAAACCTAAATAGATTAGGGGGACCATCTGCCCCTCAATCGCATAGCCCAAGATTGCCAAGTACTATTCCTTACCACACACTCCTAGTACAGAATTCTGCCAAGCAATCTATTTCCTTTATCATTATATACTAAGCAATATATCACTTGAATCATTTCAGTTTTTGATTTAGGATTAAATTTTAATTAATAATACATTACTACCTGTAGAGGGCAGTGCTAACATACCTAGACATTCAAAATAGGAGGCCCTACCTGAAATAGAACACTACAGATCAGTGGATAAGCTGCTGATCCATAAAACAGATAATCCTTTTGCTTGGATTTGTGTAACTTTCCGGGTCAGTCCCCAGGGGACTGAGAGAGAGCTCAGCATTAGCCAAATGAAGAGAAATAGAGGGGACCTTGGCTGGTGTTGTTGAAATCAGGCTACAGGACTCATTTGGAGCCTTTATTGTAAAACCATGACCAGGCTTTCCCAAGATAACCAAGAATGCCTCCAGAAACATTTCCGCAGGCCATCCATGCGGAAGCAATTTCTGCCCCTGCAGAGGGCTGAGGCGTATAATGCAAACATTCACCAAACCACAGAAAAAGAAGGGGCCACCGAGGCTGCGTATGATATCAAGGTAAGACAATCTCCTCAATCCATGATCCTTTCTTGACAAGGAAAGAGTTTATCGATAAGGAATATAAAACCTGAGCAAGTTTTAGAGCCATTGCTCACTTTATCTTATTGATGTTATTGATGAAAAAATTGTTTTCAGATTTTTCAAGAGAAACCCTAAGAACCTTGATGATGATTACCTGATCTGTGCAATTTTCTCCAACCTAAACAACTCCCCTTTACCAAGACAAATGACTCTTTATGTTTTGTTTGTTTGTTTCCGGAAATAATGTTTTTAAAAAGCAGAATACTTTGACAAATTTTTATGTCTATTGCTATTAACCATTGAATGTTTTTCTCTGATATAAAGATTATATCTCATATAGTAATAAAAGAAAAATTATAAACTGCTTTCTACAAAAATTGCTAGAGAAAAAAATTAGTATACTAAAGAAGGAACAAAAGAACATTAAGGCCCTAGCTGGTTTGGCTCTGCGGATAGAGTGTTGGCCTGCGGATTGAACCGTCCCTGGTTTGTTTCTGGCCCATATAGTAATAAAAGAAAAATTATAAACTGCTTTCTACAAAAATTGCTGGAGAAAAAAATTAGTATACTAAAGAAGGAACAAAAGAACATTAAGGCCCTAGCTGGTTTGGCTCTGCAGATAGAATGTTGGCCTGCGGATTGAACCGTCCCCGGTTTGTTTCTGGCCAAGGGCACATGCTTGGGTTACAGGATCGATCCCCAGTGGGGGGCATGCAGGAGGCAGCCGATCAATGATTCTCTCTCATTATTGATGTTTCTATCTCTCCTTCTCCCTTCCTCTCTGAAATCAATTTAAAAAATTAAAAATTAAAAAATAAAGTAAGGTATATGTTTTTTTTAAAAAAGAGCATTAAGGAGCAAAGGGGTGTTTTTCTTAAAATCACAGTTTCAAAAAGAGAATTCCCTAAGAATGAATTTCTACCACTAGATAACATTGTCCCCAAAAAGATACAATTTTCCTGCTTAGTGTGGTATGTATCTTTGCAGAAAGTACCGATTACTAGTAGGTCGTAAATCCTCTTCACTATTAATGGAATTATCTCTTAAAAGGTTATTTAGTGTGGTGGGAGATGGGCATGTGTTAATGTCTAACAAATAATGAGCAGAGCTCATAATTAAGTGCTGCAAAATCATACTACAGCAAACCTGTCCAAATAACTGTAACACTAAAAAACTTATCTGTCCCTGTATCATGGCTCATACCCTAATAAGAATCACTTATTTGCAAACTCTTTATTTAATTCTCTGGATCTGCCCTTTTCCTTCCATGTTATTTTAATTATTATAAGAAGAATAAAAGTTTTTTTATAATAATTAGGAAGATTTTTCTCTAGAACTGTACTGACCTGTGCTTCTGAGCTTTCAGACATGTGTGAACAAATAACATATGAACATCCACACACCCCTATTGTCACCTACGCACAAGGTCTTCAGGAAACTAGAATGAAATGGGATATCCTGGGCAGAAGTTCTTAAGGTAGAGTTTGGAGGCTACTCTGAGGAAACAGACAGCAACAGGATACATATGTTATGAGTGTATGCATGTATACTAGTATGTAAAAATATGTGGACACATATAATTTCAAACTTCTAACTGTCTTAAGGGATATGCTCAAGCGGAATCATAGGCAAATGGATTGGGAAAGTATTTAAGAATCAGCAGTATATATGTTCATCGTAGCACAATTTACAATAGCTAAGATTTGGAAACAACCTAAGTGCCCATCAGCAGATGAGTGGATTAAAAAACTGTGGTACATCTACACAGTAGAACACTACACTGCTATAAAAAAAAAAGAAGATGCCGAAACCGGTTTGGCTCAGTGGATAGAGCGTCGGCCTGCGGACTGAAGGGTCCCAGGTTCGATTCCGGTCAAGGGCATGTACCTGGTGGACTGAAAGGTCCCAGGTTCGATTCCGGTCAGGGGCATGTACCTTGGTTGCGGGCACATCCCTAGTAGGAGATGTGCAGGAGGCGGCTGATCGATGTTTCTCTCTCATCGATGTTTCTAACTCTCTATCTCTCTCCCTTCCTCTCTGTAAAAAATCAATAAAATATATTTAAAAAAAAAAGAAGGAACTTTTACCATTTGCAACAGCATGGAGAGCATTATGCTAAGCAAAATAAGGCCGTTGGAGAAAGATAAATATCACATGACCTCACTCACATGTAAGGTATAATGATCAACATAATTTGATGAACAAAAATAGATCCAGAGACAAATGGCAGGGGAGGTGGTGGGTTAGAGAGCAATCAAAAGACTTGTATGCATGCCTATTAGCATAACCAATGAACACAGACACTGAGGTGGTGGGGGCTTGCCTGGCGTGGGAATGGCTGGGGGGAGGGGGTCAATCGGGGAGAAAGGAGACTTAAGTAAAACTTTAGACAATAAATAAATAAAATAAATAAACAAATAATTTTTAAAAAGAATCAGCAGTATTCCTTCCCACAGCGTCCTGGAACCAACCATACTGCTGGCACTAGCACTGGGCAATTTGAGCTGCCATCCTGACCTCAGTACCCCAAGTAAACAGCTTCCAACCTGTACACCACAGGCGGGAGCGGTCAGGAGTGATCCAGTTGGGATGCTACTGGCCTCTTCACTCAGTTTTGCCTTTAAAAAATATTTTTATGCCTGGCTGGTTTTTACTCAGTGGATAGAGGGTAGGCCTGTGGACCAAAGGGTCCCAGGTTTGATTCCCGTCAAGGGCACATGCCTGGGTTGTGGGCTCGGTCCAACGTGCAGGAGGCAGCCAATCAATGATTCCCTCTCATCACTGATGTTTGTATCTCTCTCTTTCTCTCCCTTCCTCTCTGAAATCAATAAAAATATATTTTCAAAAGATAAAAAATAAAATAAAATACAAAATATATTTAAAAAAATAAAATAAAAATATTTTTATGTTGCATCTGAGTTCAGATGCAACATATAAATGAGCATATCCCTCTTCTAGCAAATATAAGCTTGGCAGAACTCTGTTCATTTTGATTCTACTAATATCATTGAGTTCTCACTGTCTACGGAATCTTGGCCTAGGTTTTGAGAAAGAGAAAAATATGCTCCTCCCTCTCTACAAAACTTACAATATATTGGGAAAGACAAACATATTGACATTCTCACCACATCTTATTACCAAATTATCGGCATGACTCATGTCAATAATAGAGGATATCTATCATCATAATTACAGTCTTTAAATCAGTAGGGCAGTAAGAAATCAGGGATGAAATGTCAATATGGAGAAAGATCTAATGAAAGAATAAAAGAGGTGAAATTTAAAGTAGACTTGATATAATGTCTATGAAAATAGAGAAGTAGACAGGGAGAATATGGGCTAACATGCATCGAGATGTCCAGGCCCCAGTGATAAAACCCTCCAAAAATCCTTCACCTAAGCCTAACATCTAATACAAAAATTAAACCAAAATAGTTCATAAACTTAAATGTACACTATATGTAAAACTATAAAACTTTTGAAAAAAAATAATAGAAAATCTTTGTGACCTAAGGCTGGGCAGAGTTTTAGACATCAAAAGCAAAATCCATAACGGAAAAATTGGATTAATGAAAAATAAAAAATTTTGCTCTGCCAATGACCTTATCTAAGAGGATGGAAAGACAAGATACAGACTTCAAGATAATATTGACAAACCCCATAGCTGACAAAGAACTTATAACCAGAATATATAAAGACCTCTCAAAACTCAAGAGTTAAAAAACAAACAACAACCTAACTAAGAATATGGGCAAAAGACATGAACAGACATTTCCTTTAAGAGCATACAGAGCCCTAACCGGTTTGGCTCAGTGGATAGAGCGTCGGCCTGCGGACTGAGGGGTCCCGGGTTCGATTCTGGTCAAGGGCATGTACCTTGGTTGCGGGCACATCCCCAGTAGGGGATGTGCAGGAGGCAGCTGGTCGGTGTTTCTCTCTCATCGATGTTTCTAACTCTATCCCTCTCCCTTCCTCTCTGCAAAAAATCAATAAAAATATATTTTTTAAAAAAGCATACAGAGATGGTAAATAAACACAGGAAAGAATAATTAACATCATTAGCCACTAGAAAAACACAAAACAACACTGAAATATCAATATGTACCTATCAGAATGGCAAAAATGAAAAATAGTGACAAAGCAAATGCTGGAACTAGGAAACCAAAAATGTCGTGTGACTCACTTTATTGCCTGTAAACATGTCTTAGAGATAAATCCACACATCTCCTCTGTTTAGTCCTTGTTTAGCAAAGCTCTGTGGGTGGGCCCCACAGCAACTAAAAGTTTAGAGTCACCAGACACGCCCCTCACCCCAGGGGACATAGGTGGACTGTGAAGCTTTTGTCTGCTCTCTTGAGTCAGGCCAGAGTGATCATCTGATAACCCAGACACACTGGCACAAGAATATTTTTACCTATACGTCATCAGTAAAAGTTGCTAGAGGTTGTGCAAAAATAGTTGAGCAAACTAAGACCAAACGGGATGAATCAAACATTACTGGAAAGAAATGATGAAAGCATTTGGTATTGCGAATTTCACACACATCTTCCAATTCTACAACAAATCTGCTCTCTCCACATCTGCAAGTTGAATTTAGCCCCATTTATTTAAGATTTTCATCTGTGACCTTTTGCCCAGGAGGTCACAGGTTGGCATGGGCATATTTTTTTTAAAGTTGAAGAGCGAGCTTTATTCACATCAGCACCTTCCAAGGAGGATATGCACTTAATTATATAGACACTTCTGTTGCTGGCTTGAAAAATGAGCATATGATCAGCAAATAAAAGCCAGGTCCTACTCCTTCCTTTTTTGTTTTTATCTTTAAAAAACAAAAATAGCTGCAAGCTGACTATTTTTTTAAATACATTTTATTGATTTTTTACAGAGAGGAAGGGAGAGGAATAGAGAGTTAGAAACATCGATCAGCTGCCTCCTGCACACCCACTACTGGGGATGTGCCCGCAACCCAGGTACATGCCCTTGACCAGAATCGAACCTGGGACCCCTCAGTCCGCAGGCCGACGCTCTATCCACTGAGCCAAACTGGTGAGGGCAAGCTGACTATTTTTAACAACTTAATTGTAACTAACTGAAATCTGATGACTTGAAAACATCTCTTTTCAACCAAAAAAGTTCAGTAAGTGCCTCCTTTCAGTGTACCCAGATACAAGTGTCATTAAAGTCTATAAACTTCCCCTTTCCCTGAGCTGCAGCTTTAGAAAAGAAAGCCAGGCATTTTACATCATTTGCTGGCTCCTGGAGGAGTCCAGGCTTTGGGGGCCAATCATTGTCCCTTGTGCATTCTTTACAACACTTGAGACAGGCAAGGTGAAGATGTGCAGGGTGTGAGGGACAGGAAGCAAAGGAAGGTCTCCCAAGAACCATGCCCATTAGTCTGGGCCAAACTGGGATCTAAGAGAAGTCTTCCTCCCTCTCTCTGTCTCTTTCTCTCCCATCCCTCACCTTATCCACTTCCCCAATATCCCCAGGCATCACCGAGGCACCTCATTCTCTCATTCTGGCCTGGTTTTTCCCATTAGGAAAAAAATAAAGTTCAAAATTATTTGCACTTAGATGTAAAAGAATTAATAGTTTGTTCCTCACAAAATCTATGGAGAATGCTCATATTAGATCCAAAGGAATGAACTCCCAGCAGTGTAATTTGGGACATTTGAGCAGGTGAGAGGCCTGGTGTTTAGGGCTGTTTCTGGCCCCTTCTCAGAAGCCACACTCAAGCCTGGTCCAAGTCCCAGCCCCATCTGGCACTGGCTTCTACTGTGGATCACTGAGAAGCTGCAGCATTCCTGGCGTCCCCCTTCACCTCAAAGCCTCCTCTTTGTCCATGCAGCCTTGGCCAAAGGCCAGGTTATAACTCTCCTTGGCACAGCCATCAGAAATTGGCTGGTTGCTAGATATAGGAAATCACAAAGGGGAGGAAATCAGGGCAGCAAATGGCTCCCTACCTTTCCCAATTCTGTCTCACTGAGTCAAGGTTCAGAGCTCACAGCCCTCCACCTCACACCCAGATGCAATAACCATCCTGAGGAACCCAAGAGCAAGATGGCCTCTTCTTCCCTAATACTTTTTTAAAAATATTTTTTTATTTTCTTAAATAATTCTTTATTGTTGGAAGTATTACATATATCCCATTTCCCCTG